AATATATTCCATTTGTTACATCCATTCAAGGATGGGATAAACAACTATCTTTGGAAGAATTTGAGAATTTGCTGTCGTCACAAGAGCTACTAGCAAAACAAATGGCTGGTGTATCTATCAAAGAAGGGGAAGGAAATGCTCTTGTCGCCGATAAGAGAAACTATAAAGGAAAATCAAGAGATAGCATGTATTTTCAATCCTCAAGGGGTTCAAGCTCGCCAGGAAAGAAGGGGCAGTCTTCCGGTAACGGTAAAAAGCTTTTAAAATGTTACCGTTGTGTCAAAGTCGGGCATATAAAAAGATATTGTCGAGTCAAGGAGAGCAATATGGCTCAAACCAAGAAAGTTGCTGAAGAAGAAGAAAAAGAAGAAGACTGGGGAAAGTGTTTCGCAGCGGAGACTCAAGCAATAAATGCCATGGCTTCCATAAATTTTGAAAGAGACTGGATCGATTCAGGATGTGGGCACCATCTCACTGGAGATCAATCCAAATTCTCCACTTTTCACGAATACAACGGACATGATGTCATTGTTACAGCAGATAATACAGTCCATAATGTGGAGAAGGAAGGCACTGTTGTGATCAACGAGAAGCAAAATGTCACTATCACCCTCAACAGTGTCTTTCATGTTCCAGGTATGAAGAAAAATCTATTTTCAGTTGCAAATGCTGTAGATGCTGGAAACTATTTGCTATTTGGCCCACGTGATGTGAAGTTCCTCCGAAATATCAAGGTGCTCAAGGCAGATATCGTTCACTCAGGTAAGAGAGTTAACGATTTATATGTCTTATCTACCTCTAATTCATATATTGAGAAGATGAGTAGCAATGATAATACACATCTTTGGCATGCTAGACTTGGACATCTAAGCATGGATAAATTAAAAGCCATGGTAAAGTTGAATCTAGTAAAGGTTTGCCTAACTTAAGAAATTTTGGTGGAGGAGAGGTTTGTGAAGGATGTCAATATGGAAAGGCACATCGTCTTCCATTTGAGAGATCCTTGTCAAGGTGCAATGCCCCACTAGAACTTATTCACAGTGACTTGATGGGGACAACGAGAACTCCTTCATTTTCAGGCTATTCTTATATGCTAATTTTCATTGATGATTTTACCAGATTCACTTGGGTTTATTTTGTGAAGCACAAGTCAGAAGTTTTCAGAAAGTTTGTGGAGTTCAAAGAAATAGTTGAAGGTGAACTCGATTCCAGAATAAGACGGTTGCGAACTGATAATGGCGGTGAGTTCACATCAGATGAGTTTCTTTCCTTTTGTCGTCAGCATGGCATTAAAAGAGAGCTGACATGCGCTGATACACCACAACAAAATGGAGTGGCTGAAAGGAAGATCCGACACTTAACTGAGACATGTAAGAGTTGGCTTCATGCTAAGAATTTACCTAGAGCCTTGTGGGCTGAAGGTATGAAATGTGCAGCGTACGTGATTAACAGGATGCCGCTTTCTCCAAACAATATGAAGTCTCCCTATGAATTAATGTTTGGAGAAAAGCCTAGCGTGAAACACCTCAGGGTTTTTGGCTCTATTTGTTATGTTCACATTCCGGATTCTCAACGGAGCAAGTTAGATGCCAAGGCAAGGAAATGCATCTTTGTCGGATATGATGAAAGGAAAAAGGGATGGAAGTGCATGGATCCTAAAACTCATCTCTTTGTTGTCTCAAGGGATGTCATATTCGACGAAGTGTCTTTGTATTATGGAACTGCATTGGATGGAGAGAGTTCAAAAACCTTAAATAATGGAGATTCAAGCTTGCCCATTGCAGGTGTTTCTCTAGATAATACAGCCGCCGAGGAGTTAAGAGAAAGGGGGAGTCCTGGACCTCAACAACATGAAACTCAACAAGAAGATAATTCAAGTGGTTCGGGAAGGCCAAAAAGAACTATTATCAAGCCAGCTCGCTTCAGAGATGAAAATTTTGTCAGTACGTATTCCTGTTTCTTTGCAGGACCAATTGATGATGAAGAACCTTCCTCATTCGAAGAAGATAAAGGAGTCAAAGAATGGGAGCTTGCTATGGATGATGAAATGGAGGCTCTGATGAAAAATCAAACATGGAGCCTTGTACCAAAGCCGAAGGATGTACAACCCATTTCTTGTAAATGGGTTTACAAAATCAAAAGAAGAGCAGATGGCAGCATAGATAGATATAAAGCAAGGCTTGTTGCTCGGGGATTTTCTCAAAAGTACGGTGAAGATTATGAAGAAACCTTCAGTCCGGCGGCTAAAATGATCTCTGTCCGAGTTGTACTAGCCTTGGCAGCCTCGCATAATTGGAAGTTATGGCAACTTGACGTGAAGAATGCTTTCTTATATGGAGAGCTTGACAAAGATATTTATATGGAGCAACCACCCGGGTATGTCTCTAACTTACATCCTGATTATGTCTGCAAACTTAAGAAGGCCCTTTATGGCCTCAAGCAAGCTCCACGAGCATGGTAGGGAAAAATTGCTCAGTATCTACATTTCTGTGGCTATGATGCATCACAATCAGATCCTAGCTTATTTGTTAAAAAACAGGAGACTTGCATATGGTTGTTCTTTTGTACGTGGATGATATGATAATAACAGGAAACAATGAAGATGAAGTTGCTAGGCTTCAAGATGAGCTTTCCATAAGATTTGACATCAAGAAGTTGGGAGAGCTACACCATTTTCTTGGCTTAGAGGTGACAAACATGAACAAAGGTATCTTTGTCACTCAAGAAGGATATGCCAAGAAACTTGTTGATAGGTTTGGATTGAAGCAAAGAAAACATGTTCTACTCCTCTTGAGATAAGTACAAGGTTAAGGCGGGACGAAGGCTCACTTCTTGCAGATCTCAAGCCTTTTCGGGCTCTTGTTGGAAGTCTCCTGTATTTGACTATTACAAGGCCGGACAATGCCTTCTCTCAGTGGGATATGTAAGCAGATTTATGCAAAGGCCAAGAAAGCCTCACTTAGAAGCCGCAAAGAGAATTCTGAAATATATCAACTCAACATCAGACATGGGCTTGTTCTTCCAGAAGAAGAATGATTTGGTGTTAGCTGGTTATACGGATGCTGATTTTAGTGGTGATTTGGATGACCGAAGATCTACATCGGGCTATATATTTCTCTATGGTGGAACAAGTATTTCTTGGTGTAACAAGAAGCAAGACTCAGTTTCCTTGTCAACCACAGAGGCGGAGTATAAAGCATTTGCTCTTACTGCTCAAGAATGTGTATGGCTACAAAGGCTTGCTGAAGACTTGCATCTACCTATATCAAAGCCAACTATGATCTATGGAGATAATCAAAGTGCCATCAAGCTTGCAAACAATCTATTATTCCATGCAAGAACTAAAAACATTGAGGTGGAACATCACTTTATTCGGGAAAAGGTTCTTGATGGAACTATCAATACTTTGGAAGTGCAAAGTCAGCAGAATATCGCGGATATCTTCACCAAGTCACTTGCTAAAGCTTCGTTCGAGTTCTTCCGTGACAAGCTTGGAGTAGTTTCCAAAAAATCACTTTAAGGGGGAGTGTGAAAAAAATAAAGTTGATTTTTTGGAAAAATATAGAATCCTCTAGAATGTCCTAGTATAGTATCCTTGATATTTATCTAGTAGACATATCTAGATGTTCTAGAATGTTGTGGGAAGATAAGACATGTCTAGATATTCTAGAGTGTTGTTAGAAGATAAGGTTGCTAGAATCTTCTTTGTACATTATCTAGAATCATATCTAGAATCATCCATAGGCTAGTATAAATAGGGGGTGTCTTGTTCATCTGTAACCAAGCCAAAATCAAGAAAGCCTTCTTTCCTAAACAAAGTTCTCCTCTCCAAAACTTTTCTTCTCTTTTTCAAGCTTCCTCTTCTTTAGTTGAATCCTCCAATATTATTTAACGATCTTGGGCTAGCAGAAGGTTTCCAAATAATACTCTTCTTCTGCTATTCTTTACACCTTTTACTTAAACTAAACTAATACATTAAGCTTTTCAAACATTTTAAAATCTATTGTCTTAGAAAGAGGTAATTCATCGATGTTTCTTACTTTTTTCTGTATGAAGTTAATGAAATATATGATTGAATACTGAAAGAGTTGTTTACTAAAGTCAGTCGACAACTTGTATGGGTAATTTGTCAATCAATTCATTAACAGGGTGGACCCAACAGTTTAGTTATTGAACACATAACTTTTATCCTATATCTTGGTATAAAATTCATTAAAATTATTGAAAAAATTAAGCTATGAACCCATAACTCAAATAAGTGATGAATTCAGTAGTAGAAATCAAAATCTTGAACTTATAGAATTGAAAATCCGGATCCAGTGATCACTGTCGTTAAGTACAACTGTACGAGTGGTCCCTTATTATTAAGCTGTCGTTAAGCTCTGTGTGTGATATTTATCTTAAAATATTTTTGAGTGGTGTTGATCGACGATAAATATTTACCTCCGTACGTCAAATTAATAGATGCAGAACATTGTTCGTATACAGATTTCTCACTTAATTATGTATTCTTTATTAAATTATTTAATTATAATAACCTGATACAAATAAGTTTTTACCATTTATTTGTTATATATACATAAATGTTTTTGAAATATTGTTTACATATACAGTGAGCAACTCCCTCCATTGCATTTCATGTGATGCAACTTAGAGTACGAGACGTCACTGGCTAATTTTCAGCGTGAATTTACATATTTAAGGACTACGTGTATTATGTCACAATAGCTAGCAACTTAAAGTATATTAAAAGTATAATATAAACAAAGAAAATCTTGTTTAACTCTTAATTAGTAGTAACTACATTGCATAAAGTGGAACATAAGTAGTGCTAATATTTGTGGTGATAATCTTTCTAGAAGGATGTCGTTGCCACTGCATTTGTCATCGTTGTCTTTCTTTCTTGTCTGTGAGGAAAAGGAGAAGTTAATTGTGGTGGAAATCAAGAGACTTGTTGTCTTATTCAATGATTAAACTAAAGGGTCACATTTCAGCACACCTCATGCGGCCGGCCTTTCATCTATATCTTGTGCGCATATGTATAAACGGGAGACCCCTCTTCACTTCTAAGGCAGAATAATATGGAAAAGGCTTACTACATAGTGTTATCCTTGTTTGCAATTACATTAGTAATATATGCATGGAAGTTGTTGAATTGGGCATGGTTTAGGCCAAGGAAATTGGAGCAGTGCCTGAGACAACAAGGTCTCAAAGGGAACTCTTACAAACTAATATTTGGAGACCTCAAAGAGTTGTCCAAAAGCATTGAAGAAGCGAAATCCAAGCCATTGAATGTCTCTGATGATGACATATCCCCAAGAATCCTCCCTTATTTTGTTGAAGCAATCAAGAAATTTGGTAAGGTTTCAAAACTTAGAGGTGGTCTTTTGGAAACAGTCTCTCTATCTCTACAAGATAGGGGTAAAACTGTGTACAGACTACCCTCCCCAGACCTACCATGTAGGATTTGATTATATTGGATTTGTTGTTGTTGTTTCAAAACTTATAGTAGGAATTAATATAACAAAAAGTTGACGAGCAAGAATTTTGGACTTACAATATATGTTAACAGGTAAAAACTCTTTTGTATGGCTTGGGCCGAATCCTTTGGTATTTGTAAGGGACCCTGAGGCAATAAAGGATGTGCTTACCAAACATTCTCTCTACCAAAAGCCAAAATCTACTCCCCTGACCAAGTTGCTGGCACAAGGAGTTGTAAGCTATGAAGAAGATAAATGGGCAAAGCATCGAAAAATCCTCAATCCTGCTTTCCATATGGAGAAGATAAAGGTATCCAACCCTCCCCCCCCCCCCCCTCCCCCACCCCCTTTCCAACAAAAATGTGCAAGATATAATTTAAGTAAATAAAAGTGTGTCGTTTGTGACCGTTTAAACTTTTAGATTGAAATTGTCATGCAATTCGATATTGTATATCAGATAGGCAAAGGACTTGAATTCAAATCTTATCACCACCTAAAAAGCAAAAAACAAAAAAATCTCACGTGTTTAGCCTCTAAGAAAAATAAGAAGGCTTACACGCGAGGGACATGTTGAAGGTATAATTTAAGTAGCAACTCCTTAAACCTTTAAGTAAGATGGTTACACAATTTGGAAAAAAAAAAAGAAAAAAAGAAAGGAGCTCATGTCCAAGGAAGTTAAAAAATGGTTTAGGCTTCTATCGATATCACAAATTCATGATATCAACTTTGCTTTGTTTTTCGTTTTTCTTTTTTCCTTTTTTTCCTCTCTAGCTTGCAAATATATATATATAGCTTAGGTTTTCAAGAAAGAGTTTATATAAAATTCCTATAAGATGCAGCTGGCTTGTACTAATGAGTAGTTTAAAAATGTATAGCATATGCTTCCAGCATTTCATTTGAGCTGCAGTGAGATGGTGAGCCAATGGGAGGAGGCTGCATCAGTGAAAGGATCTTGCGAACTCGATATATGGCCTTACCTTCAAAGATTAAGTAGTGATGCAATTTCTCGGACAGCCTTTGGGAGCAACTATGAAGAAGGCCGAAAGATATTTGAGCTTCAAAAGGAACAAGCTGAGCATGTCATTGCAATTTCTCGCACCTTATATATTCCAGGATGGAGGTAACAAAATGCCCCTTTTTCCCGAGTTTAAGTTCTGTATACTGACAGTTAGTGGCGGGGCTACTCTTATGGAAGGGGTGTCAATTGGTCAAAACTTTGCAATGATATGCATTAGATTATTTGATGATAACTACATGTTTTGTTTGTTAAATTAATATATAGGTTTATGCCAGCTAAGAGAAACAGAAGGATGAAGGAGATTGAGAAAGAAGTTCAAGCAACAATTAGGGGAATCATTGATAAAAGAGTGAAGGCAATGAAAGCAGGGGAGGCCAATGCTGATGACTTATTAGGCATATTGTTGGAATCCAACTTTAAAGAAATTGAACAACATGGTAACAAGGATTTTGGTATGAGTACACAAGAGGTCATTGAGGAATGTAAATTGTTCTATTTTGCTGGGCAAGAGACCACCTCTGTGTTGCTTGTATGGACTATGGTTTTGTTGAGCAGGCATCCAGACTGGCAAGCTCGCGCCAGAGAAGAGGTTTTGCAAATCTTTGGCGATAGCATGCTAGAATTTGATGGATTAAGCCGCTTAAAAATTGTAAGTTATTTATAATTTACCTTCTTTAATTTTAAAATCTCCATAATATATGGTGCTAGTTTTATACTGAGGCAGATCTAAGATTTAAGCTTGATGAGTTCAACGTTTAAGGTTTTTAGCACTAAACATATTGTACATTATGGGTGAATTTAATATTTTTTGAAATTGTAGAAGTTTTTAACATATATATATATATATATATATATATATATATATATATATATATTTTGTGTCAAAAATATTAGGTTTAGTTGAACCCTTGGGACATAAACTAGCTCAATCAGCCTCTGATTCTATGTTCTTGATTTTTTATTACTATGCTAATTCAATAGTAAACTCCTTTTAACCATAGGTAACAATGATTTTGCACGAGTCGTTAAGGCTATATCCACCGGTTGGAGCTCTTGGTCGAAGGATTACAACAAAAACCAAGTTAGGGGAACTAAGTTTGCCAGCAGGAGTGATGCTGTCTTTGCCAATACTTTTAGTGCATCATGACGAAGAAATTTGGGGCGAAGATGCAAAGGAATTCAAGCCAGAAAGATTCAGTGAAGGCGTTTCAAAAGCAACAAAGGGCCGAATGACGTTTTTCCCATTTGGTGCAGGACCTCGGATATGCATTGGGCTAAACTTTGCAATGATAGAAGCGAAGATGGCTATGGCTATGATTCTGCAACGCTTCTCCTTTGAGCTATCTCCATCTTACACACATGCTCCACAGTCTGTCATAACTATGCAACCTCAATATGGTGCTCCTCTTATATTGCACAAATTGTAAGTGTTTAAGACTTACATGACTTGCCTTATCGGATGAACAACTATGTCTAGCAAACATAAGTTGAAATATTTTGCAACTATATGGTCTCTGCTTTCGCATTTGTTTCTGTGAAACAATGTCAAGAATTCTCTTAACAATAGTTACAGTGATCTGAGTAAAATTTCTGATTGCCACCAACAACTTGCTCAGTACTTCTGTATTAATGTGAAACATTAGATTATTACTTGTATTATAAGTATAATGTACAAGAGATAAGGAAACAAGAATTTGATATTGCACCTTTCTTCCCAAATATTTGGTTCATGGACATAAGCAACTTGGTATAATAGGAGAAAAGAACTAGAAGAAATCATCACACAATCACTTCAATATTGAGGCACCAAATCCACTACATGCATTATAAGAAGTAACTCACCCAGATTTAAAACAACTATTACTACGCTTCAATCCCAAGCAAGTTGAAATCACTCAGAATTTACTACTTACGTAATATTACTTGTGTTCCATACTGAGCTTGGAGTGTCACCACAAGAAACGAAGCATGTGCATAAGATGGGGAAAGTTCAAAGGCGAAATTTTGTAAAAACGTGGCAACTGCGACTTTAGCTTCCAACATAGCAAAGTTTTGTCCAGTCCGTACTCGAGGACCATAGCCAAATGGGAAATACCCAAATTTTCCATTTATTGCGCTTGCAACACCTTCACTAAATCTTTCTGCGTTGAATTCATTTGCGCCATTGCCCCATATTTCTTTGCCTCGATGCATGAAAAGTGTAGGTATGTTGATTTGAACTCCACTAGGTAAAGTTATATTTCCCAATTTGGTTGTTCCGCCGAGCACACGTGAAAATATAACTCCTGGCGGATATAGCCTTAGAGTCTCAAGTAGAACCATATTGACCTGTGAAAAGAGTTTATCAGAAAGAGTAGTAGTACTATTTTTGGGACAGTGAAAAATGAAAGTAGAATGTTGTTTTAGGAGTGTCAAATGGGCGAGTTGACTACATTTTGGCTAGTTAAAATGGATCGAAACAATAAACATGATGAGTTTCATAACCCGTTCAATATTTGAATGGGTCAAGATGGACCGATCAATCTGGACTAACTTGTAGGTCATAACTCAACCTGCCCGACTTAAAATCTTTTTTCATTTGTTTTTTTTTCTTGTATAATTTGTTTAATCACCATACCGAACGAACAAAACTTAGCTTTTTCTTTCATTTATCATGGCTATATCAACCAAATCAAACTGAAAAAAGCTTATTTTCCCATGTTCTGATAAATATTCTTATGAGCTGGTTTAGGATGTTTGGGTTAATTTGAGCTTCATATTAGCTCAAATTGCCCCAAGTTTAGATAGATTAACCTGTATTATGTCAAAAATAACTTGCAAATGAATATGCATATAGTTAACCCGTTCAAATTTGGACGAGCTGGATGAATTATATATTCATGAGCTAAATTTGAAATATCTGAATGATGTTTTAACTTCAATACCATATAAGGGGGGGGGGGGGGGGTTTGTGTGGTGTCCAATTTTTCGCTTAAATTGATTATGGAAGGACCTGATTCTTCTAAGTGTTCCTTAACCTACTATTGCAGAAATAGAAAATGCGAAAAGTAAAGAACACAAGTATTTTACGTGAAAAACACCCGGCTCAAAAAGTGAAAAAATCACGACATACTTCCCAGTAAGATTTTTCCAAACTATTCAGTAAATCACTAAGCCAAAAACTGCATTTACAAAAATACTTTTGTAAACCTGGGACTAACTTTAATCCCGTTGTAGAAAACATCCTCTAACTGTTGCGATAACTTTAAGTTAACTCTAACTTGAATACTCCGAGTACCTATTACAACTGCCTCTAGATAAAGCTGAAAGATACAATATGAAAACACCTAATACAACTGAACTAGAATAAAAGACAGACACTTGGAACTGGTTCTTCTATCTAGTTCATGTAGCTTCAGGTTTGCACAGTTGAATCACACATGAACTGCTTGCAAAATGCATTGCTATTTTGCTCTCAATTCCTGTTTAACTTCTGCATTTGTGCATACCTGTAAAATGAGAATACTGTGCGATTTATAGAGTTAGTAGAATAAAAGACAACTAGAGTTCTAATGCTACTCTTCCTTGGTGGAAGTATTCTAGTTGATATCAACTTCTAACTCCTTCCCTATCTTGGATAATATTTTGTTTGAGTAAGGAGTCCTTTTCCTTATTAATTATGCAACCTTTTCGATCAGGAGATATTAAATATACCAAGTTAAGCTTATCTCATTCACGTGCATCCCACATGCTCGAATTTGCCCGTTTCTATGCACCCAAGGGATGGACCTGGTTCATGCATGAGCTTTCTTTGTCAATCTTCAAAACTAACCTTCACTTGGGTCAATAAATTCCCCCTTTTTGATGATGACAAACTCTATGCTTTTTCATAAGCTTAGGCCATGTTTCAACTTAGCTCAACATCAACACAAGGTTAGAAATATTTTTCCTTTTTATCACTTATCATCAAGGACCAAGTTCATTAAGTTATAAACATCACTGTTCAAAATATAAAGCACAACTTTTTCCTCCTTTGGCATCATCGAAAAGTTGCATAAAAATGTGAGATAACTAGATTTTAAACTTACGCCACTGGGGCTACTTCAAATGCAAACATGGATTAATCATCGTAGATCAAGCTAAGAATTTGAACTATCAAAGAAATATAAACAAACAGTTAGAGCAATAATAATGAATTTCATTGATGATTGATAAGATTCTACCACAAAGCATAAGAAGAAATAAAAGTACTGAAAACATGAGCAAAAGAAACAAAAAGTCCCGAACTGGGTCACTGATTGATCTACACTAGGCTAGGAGGCTTAAGTCTTGGAAGAACTAGGAGCTTGGTTTTTGTCTTGGAGAAGTTTCAGCATGTCTTGAAGAATTCCATCATTCTTCTCCTTTTCCCTTGCCAATTCAGTTCTGAGAGCATCTCTCTCAGACTCTACCTCAGACAACCGTGTCTTCAGCCTTGCTATCTCAGCATCCTTTGCCCCACTCTCCTGCACCAAGGCTCTGACCTTGCTATTGACTGGTGCCATCTTGGATGAACCAGGCTCATTAGGAGTAAGGACCTTATAGTCATAAGCAATCAAAGTTTTCGCCCCAAAGTGATCTTTGCTTGTAGCCACCTCCCACTTCTTCAGAGGCACCTTAAAATGTGCAAGCACAGCTGTGAGAATGAAGCCATAGGGAATGGCATGAGACTTGGTGCCACTGATAACCCTATCAAGTAGCTGGATTATAAATCCAGGCCAATTAATCTGCTTCCCACCATCCAAACACTCCATGAGGACCAAATCCATGAAGCTTTCAATGTGCCTCCTTTCCTGCCTTGGCAGAACACACTTGATGATGAATTCGAATAGCACCTTGTGGGGTGGCTTCATCGCACTCTTGTACACAGCCTTGAGCTCACTTTCCTCCTCATGATCACTGAATTTTCTGGTGATGGCAAGGGCAGTAGGAAGATTTTCTAGGCTTGGCCACTTAAGCTTTTCGTAGTCATTGTACCCCTCAGCAAGTACACCTAGAATCTCACCCAACTCCTTCATATTTGAAAGATATTTGCACCCCTTTCACCAAGCTGGTAACCCTTCCATCCTTCTCTGCAGCATTTGCCATAAACTCAACAATTTCATCCCTGGCCAACCTGTCATCCATCTAAAGGACCATGTCCTTCCAGCCTTGCACTTCTAATTTCTCCAACAGCAGCACCATCCCTTCCTCCTCCAAATCCTTGAAGAGTCTACCCTTCAGAATAGTTCTTTTGCCAAACTTGGCCATTTTGTCCTTTTCACTTTCTGATTAATCTTCCTCTCCTTCAGCAATTTTTACTTGTTTGGTTTTTACTGCAGACCTGGTCCTTTTTGCCAGGGTGGATGGTTCAGCAGACTTTGACATATAAGTAGACTTCTTAGTGGAAGTCTTGGCTTTCTTGGGCTTGGGAGTCTGAACCTCCACTTCAGCAATCACATCTTCATCTTGATGGACTAGGTCCATCTCATCCACATCAACAGCCTCAACAGGCTCTCCCACCTTCTTCTTTCCTTTGTCCATCCTTTTATTTTTGCTTTCTTCTAAGGCTCTCTACAACTTTTCCTCATTCTACTTTAATTGACTTCTTGTGGCTTTTCCTCTTGTGGGAGGAATTTCAATAGTGTCAGAAAGGGCAGCCTTCCTTTTCTTGTTAGCCCTAGAAGTGCCAAGGGTCTTAGCCTTGAAATTTCTCTCACCTACTTTCTTCAATAGGTCTGCGAAGGTTTCTTCAACTGATGAACCAAGTTCATCTACTTTTTGCCCAAGGTTAATCAGCCCTTCGGCGGCTTCGCCAGACCCACTTCCCCTTATTTTCTTGACACTTTCCTCCACTTTATCTGATTCTGCGCTGCAAGCCATTCTACATTTATCAGAAGTGGGTGAAGAATCAACCACTCTTTTCCCCATTCACCTTTCTTCGCTTCGAACACCCTCACTCTCTTTTTCTTTTTTCTTTTTATTTTTACCACCTCTTAGAAGTTTCTACATCTACCACAGATCCAACCAAAATAAACCTATTCTCCAGATTTTCAGCCAACTCAGAAATGACCTTAGTAGTAGTATTTGGGCCAGATGTTACCTGTTGAGTCTCAGAGGACCCAGTGTCTTCCCCCTCAGTAGCAGACTTGAAGGATTCTTCAGTGTTCTGGGTTCTTGGGCTTGGCTAGCTTTCAATTGATCGTCTAATTTCTTTGATAATTCCCTCCCAGCTACTTTCTTGCGAGCAAGCATCGTTACTCTTCTTTTCTTAGGCTGAGGAGTGGTTGAAGATGAGGAGCATGGTGGGGGAGTACCAGGGTTGTCAGAGGGGTTAGTTATTTTGTGCTTGGTTCTTGGAAGAAAGAAGAAGGTAGATTCAAATTTGGAGGATGAGAGAAGATGGAAAGTGTTTTGACGGTTTGAGAATTATGAAGAGAAGGTAGAGATGATGATGATGATCAATCAAAAGGGAGTGGGTAATTAATGGGTAACGGCAAGCTCATTAGTCTTTTAGAAGTCTAATCGAACTGAAATGTCAGTTTTTAATAGACAGTGGAGTCTTTCCTAGAATCTAGGTGATTTAATTTGGTTAGGATTCTTTTGAATGGAACTGGTTCAAATTAATTGGATAAGTTTAACAGAAATTTGGACTTAGGTAGAACTCTGCTCAGGATTCAAATATTATTATTTCAAATTATGCAGAGTGTAGAAAACGTGCCGTGTTATCTTGATTAACCAGGTTCTTCACTGAAAATTCTCTCGTGTAAGTCTAAATTTGCCAAAATAGAGAAAATATCATTAGAGATTAATGAATCATTTTAACACAAGTGAGCAAATATAATTGTATTAGCAACAAACAGTTATTCCTAAGAGAAATATATGTAGAAGCTAAGATTTTATTCTTATCACGCTGTCGAGTGAATTCAATGATTCCCAACTCTTTTTAAATATAAATCTTCCGAAAGTTATTTTGTTTCAACTTAAGCAATTTGAATTTTCAACAAACAAAACTTCATCAATTTGGTTCTCTCAAAGAGTAGTAAGAATATTATAAGTTTGTAGCTAGATTCTCTAATCTCTGTGGGACGATATCATAAACTATACTAGAATTTGACAGAGTACGAGCAGCAAAATCTTATACCCATTGGCCTCGTCAAATTTTTGGCGTCGTTGCCGGGGATTGGCAAACATCTACTTCAGATTAAATATTTTATTACTAATTTGAGAACTTATTGTAATATTTGTCCTTCTCGTTATAATTACTATCAACTATTTTTATTAAATCCCTTAGTATATCTATTATAATTAAACTATTATCAGTAAGTTACTAACCAAAAATAAATATACTATAATCAATACTTTCACACGCACACTATTAATTACCCTTTTATATATTATCGTTGTGATTTTAGATACTATTACAAATATTAATACTAATACTTTGAATAATATTATATTTTCTTGTCACAGTTTACTTGCTGCGTCATTTTTATATATCTATTTTATTTCAAGTGTGGTATAATATTACTATGTCTATAAATAATAAAATTATTGTACTAATATTTTTCCCCTTTAATGCCTTTTTTTTCATCTTTGCAATCTTTTATTATTATTATTATTATTATTATTATTATTATTATTATTATTATTATTATTATTATTATTATTATTATTATTTTCAAATAGTTTATGACCCGCTCTTCTACAAAAGAGTTGGCAAGTTACAATCCTGAAATTGAAAGATCTCTTCAATCGCACAGGAAAGGAAAAACGTCTTCTCAAACAATAGCTTGTGAAGGAATGGAGAATCAGGAAATAGAAAATATCAACCCACACGAAGTACCACCACCAGTCCAAATAGAGGATCAATTTGATGAAGTGGCGCCAAGGCCAGCAAACAGAATCCTAAGGGATTATGCTAGACCAGACCATTTCAACTGTGAATCTAGTGTCAGGAAGCCCCCAGTGGCAGCCAACAACTTTGAAATCAGGACCGGTCTGATTCAAACGATCCAACAATCTTGTATCTTTACTGGAGATTCAAGTGAAGATCCACATAGTCATCTAATTGATTTTCTAGAACTAGTTGAAACTGCTAAGTATAATGGAGTATCCCCTGAAGCAATCAAGTTAAGGCTATTTCCCTTTTCTTTAAAAGGAGATGCTAAGACTTGGTTGCGAAGTTTGCCTCAAGGATCAATTACCACATGGGACCAAATGACTCAAAAATTTTTAAATAAATACTTTTCACCTGCTAAAACCACAAAGTTAAGACAAGACATATCTAATTTCTTGCAAACTGGCACAGAGCCAGTTTATCAAGCTTGGGAAAGGTTAAAAGCAATGTTAAGAAAATGTCCACACCACGATATTCCTGAACATATGCAGTTGTATATTTTTTATCACGGTCTAAAACCCTCTTCTAGAAATGTGATAGATGCAGCTGCAGGAGGTTCAGTAATGGGAAAAAAAACACAGGAAGCATTGCAATTGTTGAATGAAATTTCTGAGAATGCTATCCAATGGCCATCTGAGCGTATAATTATCAAGAAGGCTGCTACAGTAAATCAGGCAGATGCTTTAAATACACTAACACAACATATTGTTTCTTTGGCACAAAAGTTTGAATCTTTTCAGGTGAATACACAACAACCAAGCCAGTCTGAAGTTTGCGACATGTGTGGAGGAAATCATCTAAACCATGAATGCCAAGCAATCCATCAAAATGATGAACAAGTCAATGTTATCGGCTACAAATCTTACTCCTTTGGAAGTCCAATGGCATATAAACATCCATGATTTGAATGGAGCAATTCAAATGGTGGTGAGAACTCTCAAAACTTTCAGAAACAACCTGTACAGGGTCCGCCCGGATATCAGAATAAAAACTGAGGGCAATTGAATTTTAAACCTTATCAGCAAGCAGCCACATATCAATAAAGGCCTCAACAAGCTCATCCAAGTCTTGATGACCTTATGTACAAGTACATTAAGGCCACTGATGAAAAGATGGACAGTCAGAATTCTGCCCTTAAAAATTTAGAGATTCAATTGAGCCAACTGGCAACTCTTGTGTCAAAAAAGATTCAAGGTCCCTTACCAAGTAATACAGAGAAGAATCCAAAGGAGCACCTTAAGGCCATCACCTTACGGTCAGGTAAGGAGTTGGATGAACCCTATGCAAACCGATCAGGACAACAGGTAGACAAGGGTAAGAATGATGAAACACCCTCTGAACCATCAGAAGAAAAAGAAGTCAAGAAAAAAGAAGAAAAAAATATTGAAAAATTGACTCCTCTCCCTGTGACTATTCCCTTTCCACACTTGACAACCAATTTGAAATTTTTTTGGAGATTTTAAAACAAATTCACATCAATATTCCTTTTACTGATGCTTTGTTACAAATGCCTTCATATGCCAAATTTTTAAAGGAAATTTTGTCAAGCAAAAGAAAATTAGAAGAATTTTCTGTGGTAATGCTTACGGAAAAATGCAGTGCTATACTTCAAAATAAGCTACCACAAAAACTTGGTGATCCAGGTAGTTTTACAATTCCATGCACTTTGGGAGGAGTATATTTTGAAAAAGCACTTTGTGTTTCTGGAGCTTCAATAAATTTGATGCCATTTTCTATCTTTAAAAAGTTAGATCTTGGTGAAATAAAAGACACACGTGTTTCTCTTCAGTTTGCAGATCAAAGTACTAAGAAACCTAAGGGAATAATTGAAAATGTACTCGTAAGAGTAGATAAGTTTGTTTCCCCTGTAGATTTTATAGTGCTTGAAATGAAAGAATGTCCTAATGAACCAATAATTTTAGGTAGACCATTTCTTGCTACAGGAAGAGCAATCATAGATGTTCATCAAGGACAATTAATTTTAGGAGTTGATGAAGAAAGAGTCATATTTGATATACAAAAGATACTAAGATATTCAGGAGATGAAACATCATCTTCATGTTTTTCAATTGACATGATTAGTTATCTTACAGATGAATTCAAAGTTGATCAATTAATTCCAGATTCAATGGAAAGATGCTTGATCAAATTAGGCACCACACAGGACGATGATCCCACCATTAGAAGAGAAGCTGAAATATTGGACAAAGATTCAGAAGAAGAAGAGATGAAATCCGAAAAAGTTCAATCAAAAATTGAACTCAAAACTCTCCCTTCTCATTTGAGATATGTATATCTTGAGCAAGAATTATTTCCAGTAATTATTTCATCTTCTCTTACTGCAGAACAAGAAAATAGTTTGATTAAAGTA